TTTTTGAAAAACACTAATACAATTTTTAATTAGATAATATTATAACTACAAGCCGCTCATAAATTCTCGGTTATTTTAAAATTCTCCCTCCACGTTCTCAATTATTATTTACAATCGAGACAAACGAAATTTTTTGTTATTCAGATGAAAAATCCGACATGCTAAAATATTTTTAAACAAATCAACTTTAATTGTTGTTATTGATATTTTCGATTACAGAAACATATTACAGCCATGATCAAGCGAACTATTATTATCAGGAGATATCTGCAATACCAACAACACCCGCTGGAGAGATGATAAATGTTTGTCCCTATTTAGCCTCATTACCAGCGATTTGTTATGTCGCATATGGTTGCGTCGCTTTGTTGAAATAAATTCTTAGTCGTAAAAAAATGTTACTTTTGATCTAGATACTTTTCTGCTCTCTGATAATTCTATTATCATGTTATCCTTAAAATCATTAAGTAATTTGGTGTTATATAAAATTGAAATAAACGCTAGTAAATGATGAATTAAGAATTACAACTCAATTTCTAATTTTGTATTAAAGAAAAACGCTCTTGAGCAAAAAATATATCATGTAAAATCAAGAATAAAATAAGAAAATGGATGTTATATGTTTATAATAATTACTATATACTCAATAAGCACAATCTATTCCAACAAAAGCAATCTATTTTCTTTTATCTATAATTATTAAAATAATAAGAAATTAATTGTATCATATCTTTCTGAAAAAATACAATTATATGACTTCTCGTCTATAATTGCAAAGATGAAAATATAATAGATGGGTCACTCATTATTGCGCGTATATACTTTACGTAATTTTATCTTGACTTTGTGAGAGATTCCAACGATCAGATCCTTTTTAATTTCGCCGATTTCGTATGTGTATAATCTTCTCTTGGATATTAAGCTTTGCTAGAAAGCCATTAATATCGAACACAGCGACTCACGGATGGCATATAGAGCTTGCCAAATGACGAAGTCAGTACACACACAAGCTGCATCTAGCCTTGGCCAGTTGATCCGAGATTATATCGTATGGTATGCATTCTGATATCGGATTAAAATGTAATGTGCAGCAATGCTAGTTCATAGAAGCCACCCTCGCCTGTGCGTATAATTATTAAAACGCAGTTATGCAATAGTTGATTATCTGTAATGGAAATATACCTATGTTGCAGATTTCTCATCTTGGAAAGAATTAAATGCTCATGACGAAAAAAGATTGGATTTGTATTTTAAAAACAGTGAAATAGTAAATACTCTCGAAAAGTGCTGATATTATTGCCTTTCTCAGCGATATAAATTGAGTAATATGGCACTCAAATGTTAAACAAAAAAGTATTTTATTCCAGCGAAAATAAAACTTTATTCCTCATCCGATTGTTTTTCGTGAAAATTTAAATGAAGCAGATTGATAAAGAATATAGAAACGATTATAATACTTTACCTTGAATTTTGTAATTTAGGAATTGAAACGAATTTTTATTAATTCTTTATTTCTCCATTTCTACATTTCCATGATTTAAATGCCAGCCGTCACTTCTCATTAATAACGTTTTCCTAAGATACACCGCACTTAAATCTTCGAATTCGTGTTCGCAATTGAATCCTCCGATATGCAGACACATAGAATTTGTAATTAACGGTACAGAATTACGCGCTGCGCCTGAGCGCTGTATGCCATTTAATTCGCTCAAAAATTCCGTTCCGTGAGGAATGAGGGCTCAATTACGACGCGTTCAACGATTCAAGCGGGCGCGGCATTACTGGATGTGATTATCGCGACGCGGAACGATGGAACTGTCGCACGGATTCGCCCGCGTCATCCGGCCGTTTTACGACGAGGAAATCGTGCCAACCATGGTGAGCCATGAATATTTATCAGCTTGGAGGACAGCTCGGTGGTGGCCTCGCAAGAGTGCCTGGCATTGATTCGACCGGCTCTGCAAGTTCGGCATTGTATATACGGTGTTATTAGCGGCTTCCGAGTAATCAGCGTGACAATGTCGAGCTTATGTATTGTTTGAGGGGGGAGGTAACAAGATAATGAATGGAGGATATACGAACGCATGTAGTTAACTCTGACATTGCGAGTGTTTAAACCCATTTGGGCGTAGCCCTCGGATATTTTCCTTCCTTGTTGATGAAATGTGATGACGCGATGAGCTTTAGAATATTTATCTTAGATAAATATTTGATGATTATAAAATTTGAAGTTTACTTTCGAAATATTCTCTCTTACATTATTTTTATAATCTTTTTGCTCTATATTTAAATGCGTAATTGGACAGATTTTAAAACGTCAGATTTTATTGACATATCGTCAATAGTACATTTATTTTCATGAAATTGCGATCCATGCATTAATTTAAATCTCGTAAATACTTTACATAAAATAATTTTTAGTGAAACAAAAACTCATCTCTATATACTTTTAGCTCTATAAAATATTTATTAAAAATAATCTTTATTGAACGAAAATTATTCTGCTATACGTTGCTCATCTACCAACGTTGCTGCCAACAACGTTAACAGAATTTAAATTTATTTGCTGTTCACAATACATGAATAATTCATGATAACGTATACGTCGGATCGTTAATTACCACTCGATAATCATATTTTAGTTCTTAACGGGATGCAGTAACCCGAGGCTTTTAAGCAATTAATGGGCGCCGCGTTAAAGGAGGGATATCGAAAGTGCCGGCGACGCAAATGCGATTTCCGTGACACGGAAAATTGAAGATCTCCGTCATTGTACTCGATAGAAAAGAGTCTTCGCGGTTTAGCTTTCGACGACTGCAACGGATGAAAAATATATCATAAAAGCATCATTAACCTTCTAAGTACTTGTTCCCAGTATTTTACCTTCGTATTAGGAACTGTTTCAACTCTATTTTAATAATATAACAGTATTCATTAGAGGAAAGTCGCCGATACTGACATAGGTCTCCTAAAGTGACACCCCCTTATTTCTCAGAAACTAACTATTGCACTTTATTAATACGAATAAAATCATGGTCTGTTTAGCTAATTAAAGAAGTACAAACTCATAATTCATATATTTGTGGCTTATTTCTATACCAAATCAGCTAAAAACTAATTCTATGAATCCGAGAAGAAAATTCTTACAGTGTTCTTTTGCCAATTGCGTAATTAAAATAATAGTGACTGATGTATTATTGATAATATTATGTCATTTTAAATGTTTATGGTTTCATAAATTAGTTTTCTTTACAGAATAGGATATATCTTTACTTATAGAATAGGAATGTTGGTATTATTACCTACTATGTCAGTTTGGAGCCCATTTTGTCAGACGCTCATTTTTGAATAACTTAATTATTGCAAAATTGTAAACAGTATTATAAAAATTGCTTATACTATCTGATAGAAGATACTTTTTACTTTGTATTTATGTTTTTGAGGTTGTATTTTTACCTTTTGTTTAAGAAATATTGTCTAAAAACAAAGTGGTATGTCGATATCGGTAACCTTCCTCTACTTAAACATCAAATTTTATAGATATCTGTAATCGGTTTTTAAATTAATCTAGAAACATAAACAAATGACATAATAATTTTTGTTTCTTGAATACAGAGATAACAAAAATTAATAATTATAAGATGAAAATTTTTAAATGAATTTATCCGACTACACGAACATTTCAGATTACTTATATTTTTAATTTCTTTTGAATAAAACTAGTAAGGACCTCCCGACAGTTCACCTCTCCACGCGTTTCTACTTCGGACACATAATTCGCACATCCTGCGAGAGAAAAGCTGCCGTTTTGCCGCAGTCGTGGCTGAAGACAAGACTGAAGGCTGGTAGATGTTACGAAGAGGAAGAGAAAGGCGTGGCACTTCCGCATGTGCTCCATCCTCTCGAGGAAGCTGACGTAATTTCCACGCTGAATCAGCAGTCGGCGCAAGCAGTCGGCGAGACGCCGCGAGGCGAAAAGTCCATTAAATGTCCAACGAATGGCGTTGCTTTTCTTCTTTATTCTTCAAGTTACGTCCACGATATTCGCCACCGCGGCCAGTTTATATTCCTTTCAAGGAACAGCTCAGGTGTACCTCCTGATTCTGGTGCATCGATCCTTGTGTGTAAAGGACTTTAAACCCTTTGTGGAAGAGTCCGAGCACACCTGACAACCTTCGATTGTCATGATAATACAGTGTTGACTACATTTTTCCGCGTGATCGAACGATAATATAGACGTGAATATTATGCGCATCGAAAATGTCTGCATAATTTTTTTATACGATGTATTTCAACAAGATTGGCCGACAACTTTATATGCTAATAATTTTATTTCATTATTTCCACGAAGAAATTTTGGGTGAAAACAGCCGTTTATAATATTAATAATATAATTAATATTACTGAATTAATTTCGTTGAATTAATTAACTGTCGCACGATCGTCTGACTAACGAGTTCCGTGGATTGAAATTGCGGATCATAAAAATTTCATCGTCGCGCAGAAGGTGGCCGACCGACGTGAATTATTGCGAGACTCGCGACGAAATTTCCCCAGTTACAAAATATTTATAGCTTCTTAAACCTGAATCGCAATATAGTGACAATTAATTAAAGCCATATTTCTTAGAGTATCTGTTTGTGTAAGATTCTCTCGTTTAGTTATATCTACATAAAATTTGCAAGAATTATATCTTTTATAAGCTTTATTATAACTTTATTATAACAGGAACTTTGATCGGAAATTTTCATACATTTCAAAACAATGAAAAAGTTACAAAAATTAAAAAATTATTTTACAAAAGAATATAGAGGAAATATGAAATTCTCTGTACTTTACAATTTAATTATACAATTTCATTTTTTCTGTCTCTTATATTTCAACTTAATTTCTTTTACAGACATTGAATTTATTCAGATTATATTTTCTCATACCTCCATTTTCTAATTACTTTCATGAGTCTTTTCAGAATAAATTCTGTGATAATTTTTTATCTCGAGTCGCAATATGTTAAACTGTTAAAGTAACTGCATTCTGAAGTGTTAAGTACGCGCGATCCTTTATTTTTAGTCCTACTCATAATTGATTCCTCAAGCAGGTACTTCTTTTCTTTTAAGGCAGGATTTCTTTTAAGCCATATAATCCTGATTTGGCACCTCTCAGAAGTGAGAACACGTAACATCCGGTATATAGATTGATTTCACGTATTGAGACGAGTCCGGTAACTTCTCGTCGATTCGTTCTCTCACGTTAGGATAAAATTTAATGACGCCCGTCTGATGTGCCGGACTGACCAGCGTCCATGGCAAACTACGATGCAAATGGATCGAGACGTGCGGATCGAACTTTGGACGATGCACTTCGAAGAGAGTTCTACGGAGTTTCGAAGAGACGACCACTTCGTGGCTTGTCGAACGCTCTGACGAATTTGATGAATATTCAAGCTTACAAATAATATATTATCGCGTATACTAATCGCAAGAAGTTCTGTGTGTAACGTTTTAGTGTTTAATGAGTATATAATAGTTAAGTGTGTTTTCAAGTCACAGTTTCCCGATACTTTCCAACGCTAATGCGCCCAATTTCTAATTTGGTCTCTATAGTTACGATTGATTGTGATGTTACACACATAACAAATTATATAATAAAGCTTTAATTCATTGTTTTGACAAAACACAAGTATGCGTACATATTTGTTAAATGTCTGAATAGGGCTGTACATTAATTTTGCAAGTATTGTTACAACAATGGTAGTTTTTTGTTGGAAATTATAATTTTTACTAAAAAATTGCAAAAGTAAAAACATGAAACGTAATGTATTTAAATAATTTTGCGATAAAAATAGATGAGTGTTAAATTAGAAACAATTTCAATTCTGGAATAATAAGTAATAAAATAATAAATATTTAAAAAAATTAAGAAACTTATATATTATACGTACCGTCGATGTCAAGTAATTCAAATTCAGTTAACATAATGCGTTCTTGCTTACTCAGCATAGACGGATCTAAAATTTGTAAATGAACTAATATCCAATTAATGGCCATATTGATGAAAGTATGGGCATCAATTCCTGTATTTGTCCCAGCCATTGTCCAAATCACGTTTTCACACATTGCATGTAGCACTAGTGTGCAAATAACCAAATCCAAATCGACATCCACATTCCAAACTTGTTTCGCGCTCTGCAAAATTCGATCCTTAAATTCCCACAAATACCTTCGAGCTTTGGTGATGCTTCGTCGCTTTAATAACTCTTTGGTACTAGAACGCAGATCGAATCTCCCGGGTAAAATGTGTCTATAAAAAAAATTCGAATTTTATTAAAACTTCACGAAAAGGATGATTTTGCTGAAGTATTGTATAAAGTTTAGCTAAATACAGATCCGAAAATAATTTTATTGAACCATCAAAATCACTAGGTATGTTCAAATTGATTGCTAGAGTGTCAAAACTTTTTGACATGTTGCTCATCATGCTTGAAATTTCTATTATATTTTATTTTGATATATAGTCCAACAAAATTATTTTTGGATCTGTATCTAGCTAAATTTTTAGGTATATATAACTTCAGCAAAATCGTTATTTCCGTGCCGTAAATTGTTTTTATAAAATTGATGATGCGATCCAATATTAAATTTGTAGTTTTAATTTTAAACATCTTAGGGCCATTTTCACCAAGCTCAGTTGACTTAACCAGTCTAGTAAATCCAATGAAATAGAAAGAGATAGAAATAGTTCCATCTCTTTCTATTTCATTACAGTTACTAGACTTAAATAAACCGAAGATGGTGAAAGTGACCCTTAGTTACCTATGTTAAAATAAAAACACTGTTGTATTCGTATAACAAACCTAATGGGCGATGGAAATCTTTTTGGTAATACAGTAGCAGTCTCAGCACCTTCGTCATTAGCGCAGAAAAGCCTCGGTCTTGGCATACAATTGTACGGTAGGAATCTAAAGAATTTGAACAAAGCAGTCGTGAAGAAGGGAAAACACGCGATCACAGATCTTCGTGATTTCTCCTAGTCTGACCGGAGATGAATCGACGGAAATCACAGAGAAGAAATAAGAATTGCGGGAGAGCGGTCGTAGCTTCTCGAGCTTCAAGCTCGAGTTTTTTTTCTGGCAAAACAAAAACACAAGAACGAAGAGAGGAACAATAAGCGACCGTACTGATTGACGATCGGATAGTACTATGTCTAAGATGAAATTTTAAATAAAAAAGAAAAAGAGAGAAGTAATGTATAATTTTACATAAATTACATATGTACATGTATCCTATTTTATATCTAATATTCAAGTTTTTACTGCGAGATCATATTTTAAGACATTTAAGATTTACAAGTACAGATATATGATACTAAACAATATTAAGTATCTTTATTTTAGATATATGTGAGAACACAATATAGGCATTTTAAATTCTAGTATTGATATATTATATGATACTGATACAATAATTTTCATTTAATAATTTATCGAAATAAAATAATTTTATCGACATAATTTAAGGTAGTTTGACATAAGAGATTAAATCCGCAAATATAGTAACAAGCAAATGGAAATTATGAAGAAAGTTGTTCTCTCTCAATTAGTTAGATTGCTCCAATTTTTTACTACGACTGCACTTTATAATATTATTGGTATCTTTTTGACAAGGCAGTGATTAAATGGAAATTACGAGAGATGTTACGGCAATCGGTTTACTTAATTACGATGACAATATCATGTGTAAACGATTGCGAATTTACCTATTCTGCGGTTTCTTATAGCGAGCTCCTGATGAGGTGGTAATTAAACTAAAATTTGCGAAAAATAACTGCGAGATTACCCGACAATAATTAGAGAGGCTGATTTTGAGCGAGTTTATCTTTTAACAATATATATCAGACATTTTTAAGAAGTACAATTATGAAACTTTTTTTGCATGAATAAATAATATAAAAAAATATTCTTACAATAAAATTTCCTCACACTGAGAAATCTATTTAGTTAAATCGACCAAGGATTTGTTTGCCCATATCCAAACAAGAAATTAATCGACGCAATAAAATAATTTAGTTGAAGCAAAGCATTTGGTTATTGTAACATTTCACTTGTTTCTGATAGACATTGACATCTGATAAAATTGTTTACAATAACCAAATGTTTAGCTTCAGCTAAATTATTTTATTGTATCAACCAAGGATTTGTTTATCCATATCCAAACAAGAAATTAATTGATTCAACTAAATGGGTTTCTCAGTGCATTAAACGCGAGAATTATATTTTATTACTAAATATGATTTTTTTATGAGATTATATTTTTATTTGTAAAATGTGAAACACATGTAAATAGGAATAAAGCATGTTCCTGAAAAGATAGTTAAATATTAATGTATACAGTAGTCAGCGTTATCAAATATTCGTAGCAGATAAATTCTGAGATCCATGCATTTAACGAATACGAAGTAGCGCGAGCAAGATAAGGTAATAATAGGATTAAACTCTCGCGCAATAACCTGCAAATTGTGTTAAGTGACTGTGAATTACGCACGATCGATGGAATATTATTTCGGTTCTACCGAACGCCAACAATCTCGCGAGAACTCATGGTCGGTCTCAATAATGCCTTTTCATTCGAAAGCGATGCAATTCAAATGCTCAATAAAGAAATTTGAATAAAATCAAAATATTTATTTAATCAAACTTTTATTGATAACATACTGCGATAATTTTCTTTCTTAAAACATTGTTCTAAAATATTATTTTAATTTGTTCTTGTACTCCATGTCGTTATTTATCTGTGCAACGAACTAATAGTAAATACACAATAATAATAAAATTACAAATATATGATATAAATAATAATAATATAAACTTTATTTTTATATGAAATTTATAAAATATATTGTATATGATACATTAACGCAAATATAAATAAATGACAAAAATTATGATCATATATTATCTTAATATTATAATGTATACTTGTATCTTATGAATTCTACTTCTATCTTATCACGAGGTTTTGCGTGGAAGTTATTATCGTTTATGCTGAGGCGTAAACCTGAAAATTACATACAAACCCCTGTATGGGTAGACATCGTTACACATAACTTTTCTCATTTAGTAGTACATTAAACTCGGAAAAGTAACCACTTTTAACGCCGTATTATATCTGTAAGTTTATCTTTGCAGCACTCTTCATACATAAACGATAAATCCGAGAGTTCTGCTTATTACACTTAATTATACCTAAATATCTTGTTTCAAAAAGGCATGACAAGTTAAATATGTTTTTACTATTATGAACAAAATGATTTTAAATAAGATAAATTGACTCTCCATCACTTACAATTCATGAGCTAAAAGCGGATCTGTGATGTTAAAATCTTGATATTCGTGGTCATTCCTATTCGACAACAGACTGTTACAATATGACGACGCTTTATCCTTTTCGACATTACGGCACTCTCGATAATCCGTTTCGTTCTTTCGAAAATCCTCCATTCCACTCGTGATGATCTCCTGAATCGCGAGATTCAAGATAGTCGTGCTGTTCGCTCAACTTCAGGGTACTCTGCAACCGGAAATGAAATCCGTGCACGTACATACATTGAATGCCGTACTACGAAGTCACCTTCTTGATCAGAAGTTCCGTTCAACAAAATAATCTACGAACAAAAATGCGCAGTTAAAATGCCCCCAACAACATATAGCAAACATTGTATCATTCTTGTCATGGGCTTTTATAAAGGTTGAATATTGTTATGAAACGTTTTATAAAATATTATTACCATATAAAATATTCTAATATAAATTATAGTTTTTAATGTCCCACATAGTTGTAATACAATTATAAAATAATATAAACATTGTTTTTCACTAAAATTTTTTTTTCTGTTGAAAATCTATGCTTTTCATAATCTGAGAAATTTTTACAATTGAGACTGTAGAACGACAATTTATATTTATATAATGACTTTGCATGTTTAAAAAATATTTATTTGTAATCAAAGAATTTCAAATTACCGCGAATCGAAAGCTTCAAATATTTACGTAAATAATTACAAATATTTTCGTAAATAATTACAAATCGTATTGGGATAAAATTATTCGGGATATAATTAATTGAAAATTATTGATTTAAAACCGCAAAAAGAATGTATAGAATTAGACAGCTTAAACTCAACTATCGTCAGTTACGAAATTTGGAAAAGTTATTCGTGAGTTATCAACGAGAAATATCGCGCAAAACCTGTAGCGAAATGTCAAATCGGCAACGATTGATAGAGAGGCCATTTATGGATGGATGCGCGCATCATGTATATCGCTGCAGCTATACGCATTTGTATGGAATCTACAATTCTCGGTGCAACGGATCTTCCCAGGATCGCGTTAGCATCAGTATTTGCATCAAAAAATCACGTTCCGTCTGCGCAGATGATGATTGATAAAACACATAACTTGTATAAAATAAACATTGAAATGATATTTATCATCAAATATCAAATTGTTCAAATAATATTTGTTTCTGGATATCATATCACGATGATAGGCAACTAAATCGACCAATTTTAATAACCAAATTATCGGTACTTATGATAACATTCTTATTATCACAAATTTATAAGGGTGGTATTCATAATCGATTCTTATATTCAAGACCGTCTTAAGTACAGTCTTAAGTACAGTCTTAAGATGTCACGAACCAGTCAGAGAACCGTATTAGCATCTTAAGATATTATTTAAGACAATCTTGAAATAAGAACTGATTATAAATACCAGCCAGAATCATTTGTGTAGTATTATTACAATATCGATCATCGAATTTTGATTTATTTCTTTTTTTAAAGATATTTTTGATAGAATATTTTTTATGAAATAACATATATCTTTTAATGTAAGTTATTCATTTTTCTCTTCATTAAAAAATATTCAATACAATGAATTAACTTAATTTAATTTAGCTGAAGATTAGTACTTTCATAAATTATCTTTGTGCATTTGATGTGGATGAAATTTTTTAATATATTATATTTAAATTGCAGCAAATTGTAATTAGCTGCAAAAATTTTACAGAGCCTCATTTTCTAGTACGGATAGTAAATCGAACTCACCTACCTCGCAGCAGTCCAATCCTTGCAAAGCCTTGCAGATTGCTTCGCTCGTTACTTTCGTATCTTTGCAGGAAACATCGGATTTGCTGGCAACTTTCTCCTATCGATTCAACATCAAACTTTTTCTCTCGCCCGTGGCACTCTTTCTAAAATTCGAACCGAGAAAATCCGTGGCACCTCTCTTGAGAAAGGTAATCTTTTTCACACGCCACAAATACACATGCTAAGTCATGTCATGATTGACAGTTCCTCTTAACACTTAGTAGGAGATTCTTTTTGACTGGCAAAAGTTTCTGGTGCTTGCATGAGTAGGAAGAAATCAAGTGAATTTGAAAGAAATCTTTCAAGATAAATCCTAATCTTCTTCTGTATTTATATAATCGAACTACAAAACAGAACTTTTCAAATGTGACATAATATTGACAGAATCAATCATTTTATACATTCGAACATATTCTGTAATCACGCAACGTCAATAATTTATTTATTTAAGCTGGAAAGCATTGGTAATTGAATATTTAGGTTAAATGAAACGAATTACGAAAAAACAGTCGCAAATCAATTCTACTTTTATTAACGACGAATTTTTTGATCATTAATATTGATATCAGCAGTCTAAAGCAAATTATAATTTAATTTGTATTGAAATCTAAATTTGCTCATTTAAAAATATGCTACAAAAATTATGTGTCAGAGAGTTCCCGTATTTTTACGATCTTTTTGCATATAAATTAAATTTTGCTTAATAAAAGTAACGTGAATAAGGTAATTTAATGTCATTAAATGAAATATACAAATGTAAAGCCATGTAATAATATTACTTCGTAATATAAGTTTTTATACATTAAATATGATTTATAATTAATACATTGGGAAAGTAATTATCTGTAAAAATCGGAGAGAAATATTAATTAACATTTTTGGAATTGAAAGTTTTATTCCAAAACCAATAAAAAAGAGCAAAAAACAAATTAATAAATTTATTTATTTATTTTTTATTTTATTTTTTTATTAAAATACATATAGGTAGTAAAAGTTATAATAATCTTTTAAAACGAAGCATTTTAAATACATTTTAAACAGAAATTTTTAAGATAATTTAATTAATTAGTTTATCAATCTAGCTGATTACATTTTTATTAGGTATAATTTTATTTTTACATTTTTATTATAATTTTATTATTAATAAAACAAGATAAAGAAATGTGGACTTTTAAAAGGATAAACACAGCTGTTTTTATCAGTGCCTCGATGTCGGTAGGAGCGTAAACAGTTAACATTGAGTCGGATTAGACGAAAAGCAGGAACAGACACTGTTACGATCAGGTAAGAGAACGTAAATCGCAATCAGTAACATTGATCACACTGGCTACAAAATCGTCGCAATAACATATTGTAATCACCATAACGTATTGTCCACGTGTGTAATATGCGTGTATACATATTTGTATATAAAAATAAAATTTTGCGAATATTTGAAATATCTGTTGACTGTGCATTCACTTTGTTTGCAAATCTTTAAAATATCTGTCGACTACTCATTCACTCTTTTTCATGTCTGTTAATTTCTTGGGAAAATACTTGAGCGAAACAGTATTAATTATAAGCTCTCGTTTGAAGTAATTACGTGTAGCCGGCTTATAGCGCTTCATTGTTGGAAATTTTATTTCCAATAACCGTGTGAAAAGAGCCACCTGCAATACTCTTAAATGCAATGGAATATTATATTATGAAGGCACCACATTTATATAAAAATAAATTCTTTAAAATTTACTTTGAAGATTATTAGACATTTAGAAATAGCGTGGTTAGTTTTTTAAAAAAAAGTAATATCTCGTAAAAAATAAAAATTTACGATTATGATATATATGCGTATAATGTTATCAAAAGCTATTTTACAAGCTGCAGAAGCTTTTCACATCTTCTTCCTCGTGCGCTTTCACTACGATTTGCATTTTACTGGTGAGAATAACTCAATCTTTAAGCAACGAGAGAGATTCAAAATACCGGAAAATCATGAAGGGGAGATAAGAGATTCATAAAGGGAAGGTGTCAACGGAAAATCGATAAGAGAGTACTTCGTGCAACAAAGTGCGTTGCGTATCGGGTTTACCGAATCATAATCGCGTTAAAGTCTGACTCATTTGCCTGGAAAATATTTGCAGCAGCTCCGCTTACATCGTAAAGGGATATGTGTGCGTAAACTCACCTCCGTTCCTTGTGCAAAATTGAAACATGTCACATGAGAGTTAATGTTGTTCTAGAGCGTAGAATTTAATTCAATTGTCGAAAGCTATGCAACAATCATTTTTATTTTTTACATGACAATTGAAGATTATAATTTATCGAACTAAACATGTAATAAAATTCTATTTTATCACGAAAACAGATATGTCATAAAAATTATGTACGCATATGTACACATCGTTAAATCTTATTTGAAAATTCTAAATATGTAGATTTGCAAGGTGTAATAGTTTGTAATACTAAAACATATAGAAACGTACAAACAATTTTAAATAATAACTTTTTCAGTAAAATTCTGCATAATTCGTTTATATTAAATAAATCTATGTCTACAAAGCGGCAAGATATTATGAACTTATCGGAGTTCCTCGTTAAAATATGGTTAATAAAAGCCGTCTACGTGCCGCCGCTTTGTGCGCAGACTTTTTCATACTTTGTCTACTACGATCGCGTAGCACTCTTTTGCACTGCTCGCCGTTATTAAACCGTACAACACTTTGTCTGCGTGAAAATGAACCCTTGCTCACTTCGTCCGCCTATTTCTGGTTCTGGCATATCTACCAAATGCTGTAAACGCGCGAAAACCAACCAAATTTACGGCAAGAACGCACAAAGGTCAAAGTAAATGGTCCTTTAAAAGTGTACGCGGCTCTGAAGATGAATACAAGACATACAAGTTTCTATATGTATAGTTCTACTATAAATATAGAAACACATAAATACATTTATTAACATATATATATATATATATATATATATTGAAATTACAATTTAAGTTTACAGAATAAAAACAATTTTTAAGATCAATTGCAAAGACGTGAAAAGTAATGTTATATAATGGAATTATTTATGTTATGTAATGGAAATTATGATCAAACTGTAATGTCCAAATATAAAGTAAAAATTATATTGATATAAGTAGGTATATAGGGGCTTAAAGATTATTATAGCAGTTATTTGTCAAATAAATTATTGAATAAAGTTATTGAAACTATGAAACAAAAATATACATTCTATATGTATTATATATATATATGTGTGTGAAGTAAACTATATAAAATATTCATAACAATAATGTAATATGCGTAATATTTCTAATAATATTGAATATTAATTGTTAAAGAAAACAATCGTACCACGATGGAAAATATTTTAACTTATAATGAAGACTTCATGATGATACGTGAAATAAGAGAGTTACGATTCAGCAGTGGAACACAAGGTATAAAAGGGCTTTCTCGTCAAGCAATGTTGAAGCTTTTAATCGCGACTCGTACTTACACAAAAGAATTCAAGAGGCTCGCGCTCATGTAATCCTTGTTGAATCTCGCTGCGGGCTCTCGAAAAATTCTTCTATTATTTTAATATCTTCACAAAGGTAACCGCGATTTATTCGCGTAAGTTAATGGCAAAAAGTCAACAAAAATCTCAGAAAAATATGTTTCTCCTATGCACACGCGTGAAATAAGAGAGTTGATCGAACCTGTCTCCGTCTCAAAACCTATTCCAAATTCTCGAAAGATATTCTTCATCGACCGCAGAGATATTATAGGTACATACATTCTTTTCACATTTTATCTCGTGTCATATATTTTTGCCATAGGATTGTATATAGCGAGCTTGCATTTTCCATAAAGTTTATTTATTTTAGAGAGCCATAACCTTAAGCTACTCTTTTACAGAGAATAAGCTTGTCTTCGTTTCTTTTTTTAATGGAAAATGAGATGAGTGCATATCAGCATTTTTCATACGCCCACTATATCGAAAAAAATTTCCCTGTTATCTTTTTGTACTTTCTCGCGGCCCTTCTTCGGTATTGCAAGCTCGCAGAGGGTCGATAATGGAAATACTCGAAGAGCATAGATGAAATTCCTGCTCTGAATCCGATAGTGACGAATATCCCGTATTTAAGGTCATCGAAAATGTAGTCGATTGGTATTTGATGAAGTCTCTATTGAGCGAAAAGAATGCCTACATGGATGAGTTAAAGCTATCTTTTTGCTAGTTGATTAACGACGTGATGGAATGCCATTATTTATCGCTCAAGAGTAATGACTCGTCAGATTAATAGTGCAATGTACTAATTCTTATTTAACATAATTTTAATTTTAAGTAATCTTTTAATGATATAATGTTTGTCAAATACAAGCTAAATTGTACTGTTTGTTACTTTCCCTTAACAATTTAAATGTTCTTTGAAATTTACAATTTAATGATATTAAACTTCAGAATTAATTGACTTCAATAACAAGGTGTAATCTATTTGTGCATTCCATCGCATTTTGCTGATAGATGTAATATTGAAAGATTCTGAAGCATTACAACCGTTACTTTGGAAATAATCGTTCCAAAATGAGTTAGTAACTACAAGTTACAATATCAAATCTGATATCCAAAATGTTAAAAATTTAAAGGACGTTTATGCATCTAACGGATTTGTAAAGCGTATTATATATCAATTAAATGTCGTTTTGAATCAATTATTCCCAAACTAACAGTTGAGATGCTCCAAGGTCTTCCAATGTTACGTCCGCCAGTGAGACCCGAACTGAATGCACAAATGTATTGCACATAGGTATGTCGAACATAGAACACAGTCGAATCAGGATCCTTTGTTAAGGACAAATCTACCAGCGCGTTGTGCAGTGGTCCATTCCGAGAATCAATTGAATCAAGACCGTTTGTGATGGACGGAACGCAGACAAGGAATTCTCTTTGGGGCCAAGTCGACTATCAGAAAACAGGCAGCTTACAATTATAACTATAAGATTAAATAATAAATAATGAAATGTATAAGAAATCGTAATATAAACGGAAACCTTCTAGGAGCTCGTGCATAAAAATCTTATTTTAGCTTCGCACATCGTTTGAAACTAAAATAAAATTTCAATCGAATTTACGAAAATCGATTTTACATCATTCTGATTTCAATAATTTACGTAAATTTACGTCTTTAATAACAATATCTTTTCACAAACTTAACGTTTGTGATATTTTATCTGCTGTATTTTTTTTCTTTAATAATTTTCTAAAGATTCTCATAAAACCGTCATCATGTAGTTATAAAGTTAATTACACACATTAAAATATTTTGCTAACAATAAGAAAAATAGTATAAAATAAAATTAAGAGAAATTGATTTTTTGGCATACAATACTAATATAAAATTTATAAATGCAATAATTTAAGCGCATTTAACGATAAGGAATCGATACATCAGATTTAAGATTAAAGATCATAAATTATATAAACTTAAAGTTTCGTAATGAGCCTTTG